GATAGAAATGGGTTTGTTTCCTTTCCCTCAAGCAAGACAATTACCTGGGACCACTTTTAATCTTCCTTATGTTATACTAGGAGATCAAGGATATCCTTTAAAGGATTACCTAATGCGCCCCTACAGCTCAGGTCCAGCAACAGTTCCACATGATGTTGAAGTTTACAATTATAGGCATAGTAGAGCCAGACGTACAGTAGAATGTGCATTTGGAATACTAGTTGCTAAATGGAGATGTCTAAAGACAGAGTTACAAGTTGATCCAAAACACATAGACAAACTAGTCACTGCTGTTTGCTTGTTGCACAATATCATTATAGATAAAGAGGGAATTAATGAAACTATGATGCATAATATAAATTTGGAGATTGTTACCAGTGCAGCAGAGTGTGTTAAATCAAAACGCTATAACAGAGCTGGTAGAGAAGCTTACAATATTAGAGATCAGTTCAAAGCATATTTCAATGCTGAAGGAGCTGTACACTTCCAATATGATAAACTAAATACTTACACTATCTAAGATATTATAAAACAATTTTAAGTTTTGATGCCACTGGTATTTAATTGAAATAAACTTCTTTGGTTGTTATGCTACTGTTGTTTATATTTTATTTATATTTGGCATACATAAAAATATAGAGACCATTGGTCAAGTTACCATATATATATATATATTCTTGCTTGTCAGACCTTCTAGCTAGCATTGAATTCTTATTAGGTAACATCCTTCAACACACCTTTCAATTCATCAATTTACCATTAAAAGAAAATAAGTTTAAGACTGCATTTGAAGATGTCTTAAATAAAATAAAAAGAAATTTATTAACACATTTAATTTTTATACAGCCATAACAAAAAATCAAGTAATTAATTTAATAAGCTTTAATAATTAATGAAACAATACATGATTTCAGACCCGTATTATTTATCAAAATAACAAATAGGGTCTTAAACTTCTGATGGATTAAATGTACCCACACATTTATTACTTTTGAATGAAACTATTATTTTTACCATGAGCATAAAAATTAGTAGAGTTAAGAATACAGTATGATGAGAACATAGTTAAATCTATAGCAATTATTAATTAGTTAGTAGTCTACAGGTACTACTATTAGATAATAATTTACATTGACTACATGGTTAAGGCTACAAGTAATAGTTAAAAGAACATCAGCCTTACTACAAGCTAGTAGTGAAAAACTGGATATCAGTAGAATCACAAATTCACCATAAACAAACTTGAAAGTAATGATTTCAAAGTGATAAATAATAGCAAAAACAAGTCAATGAATAAAAATAAATAATACAGTTTCTAGCAATACCCGTATAACAAAATCACAAGATCAAATGTACTGTTTTGAAACAACACTGATGATTCAGTTGAAATAAAAAAAATTAGTAGCATTATTGCATACTTGAAATACTTTTATATAATTAGACTCAATAACCAATAACATGTTTGTAATTTCAAATAATTAACATTAGTCAAGAATAAAGAAGACTATGTAATAACAGATAACATACAAAGTTCTTAATCATTACACATTGCTCATTCACAGTCTGCATCATCAATTGTGTCAAAAATAACTTGTTGTATCTTCATCCTTGTTAACAAGCTCACTCTTTTAGGCATATCTTCAAAATATGGTAATAAACTCAGCAGGAAATGGTAGTTATCATCATTCTTGATCTCCTGTTTGTCATTAATCTTTTCAATTTGTTCTAATTTCTTTTTCTCTAATGTTATCAACTGATTAATGGCGTCAGCTTTGTCTGCCTTTCTTTTGCATTGTAGCTTTGGTTTTTCAATTGGCAGAACTATTTCTGGATCTCGCACAGCAGCTTCGTCCAGTGAGTCCGAATTGTTGAAATTTATTTCAGCCACAATAGTTTCACTAAATTCAGAACTTGATGTAGATGGAAAATTGCTTAGCATTGGTCTAGAAACAAAAACATCATTTAAAAATGCTAATTGATTTATGTATTTCCATGGTACTTTAGTGTTAGCTGCTGCACTTCCAGTTACTTTTTTTATGTTCTTTGTGTGCTCTTTCCTAAAGGTGTCTCGTAAATTTTGCCATTTGGCTTTTGCTTGTGACACTGAAATATACAAACAAAACAATTTAGATTATATGCTTTTAACTTCCATTTAATATATTTATTTCTGAATTCAGACACCATTCTTTCTACAGGCTGATAATTAAATGTTTACATAAGCTAATGGCTAATTTAATAATTAAATAAAACAGTCATCTTTGATATTTAATATTTAGTAGCTATGCTAATCAGTAAAAATTAAAATGTTCAACTATAGACTATAGTAGTTAAATAGTTAACTAATAAATAGCTAGATCTATATTCTACATTTAGGCCTACTAGACCTATAGATAGATTCTACTTAATTTAATTTTAATTCTACTACTTATTACTAGTTTACTAGTAATTTACTACTTGATTATTAGTAATTTAATTAAATCAATTGAAGTAAATTAGTCTCTTCTCTACTAAATAGTAAATAATCATTCATTAGTGATCACTGATTAGTCAATGACAGAGTAGGCAACATGTTACATCAGTTACATTTAGATCTAGTTAGTTTAGTTAAGTATTAAGTTCAGTTAAGTTAGTAGAGTAGATAGATAGCTATCAAGACTTTTCTACTAGACTACCTTGTTTAAATGTAAATAATAATACTTAATTACTATATTATAATTAGTATTACTAGTATTAGTCTAGTCTAAAGTCTAATACTAATTATTAACTATTAAATATTAGATTTAGATTCAAAAGTAGTGGTAAAATTGAGTTGAGTAGAAGAATCAATCACTAGATCTAGACTAGATCTTTTAGTACTAGATCTTCTAGATCTACTAGATTCTAGATCTAGATCTAAAATCTAGATCTAAATCTAGTAGATCTACTAGTACTAGACTAGTAGATCTAGATCTAGATTAGATCTAGAGAATCTAGTAAAAGTGGGGCTAAGCCGCTAAAGTCTAAACTAAAGCTAGTCTAAAAGTCTAAACTAAAGTAAGCTAGAGTCTAGACTAAAGTAAGCTAGAGTCTAGAATCTAGGTCTAGATCTAGATCTAGTATTCTAGTAGTTAAGCAGTTAAGTATAATATAGAATATAGAATATAGAATCACATCACAACAATGACTCAATTTGTTACTCAACTTGTACATCCGAGTTCATCAGCTATTTCAGACCATAATTTTTTTGAGATGTCTCTATTCTGGTAGCATGGGTTCGATGTATCCCATAGTGGCGTTCTCTCTTGAACTAGTAAAATAAGCTTCTCCGTGTCAAGTACCACAACAACGTTATTTGTACTGAAGCCCTCCATTTTCTTTTTTGTTTATCCCTGCCAGATAAATTTTCATCAGAATGTGTTTTCCGTCAGAACAGAAACAAAATTTTAAGTTCATCATCAGGTGCCTGAAGACTCGGACGATGAGTTCGGATCTAGTGTAACCAACAGTACTGGATTATACTTTTTGTTTGCTTTCCAGTTGTTCGGCCTTGTTGCCAGAAACAGAAATTCGGTCTGCCGACGTGTAGTGTAAACGCAGCCTAAGTAATGCATGCAAACGATATTTTCACTTAACTGTGCATCTGACTCAACGAATGTCAAACGACACGTAGGTGTATATTTTATTTTTGTTTTTAATGCTCTGCGATTATAAGACAGAGCGGTAGAGCAAAATTAGAAACATGAGAAATAAAAACAATGTATTCACAATAAAATACATATTTCATTGATAATATAATACAGGATTTGTAGGGATTAATAAATGTTCACGTTTATAATTCATCTTTTCCTTAAATTTATCAAGAGAAGAAGATGTAATTAAAATGACAAAAACTATTTATGTATAAAAACACAAGACTTATAAAATTTGTGACACGTGCCAGCAGCGAGGTGATGTTATCAACTGACAAAAATGTTGTAAATTATAACAATGGTAATCTGTCACATATGACAAGAAAGTGACTCGATTATAACACATATTAGTCAAATATAAAGTGAGTTATGAAAAGTGAACTTTAATGGTGACGACACAGGAGAACATGTCATTGGAATGAATTTTTTTCTTTAAAATTTTTCTTTTAAACACTATTTACATTTTTTAAAACGTTTTAAAAAAAAAAACCACCGATAAAAAAAAAAAACAACACTTTATTAGTTTAAACCTTAAAAAAACAACTTTATTTTAAAGATTTCAAAACTTTATTTTAAAACTGTGGTTAATGATTTGCGAACCGATCACGTGATATTTTAATTAGAGCATGTCCGCTATCGAAAGATTTTAAAATTTGGGCTATATTCTAGCAGAGAGCTAAGAAGTACATTAAACAATCTCTGTACAGCTATACGTCAACAAGGAGTTGACTCTGAAACTTTAATTAACCAAAAGATTTTATATTTAATTTCCAAAGATTATATGTTAAATTATTTAATTTATTTTCTTGCCAAAAATAATGAATATAGTCAATACTTGGAAATATATTGCCTCATTTCAGCATTGTTGTCTTTCTGCTTTCGTTCGTGTGTTTGTGTGAATGTAGGTGTGTATTTGTTTAGATCGTAAAATTGATACTTATATGTTGAAACTAATAACATATTATATGTCTACTTGACAGAACACCAAACAAGTTTATACATTTTATGATATTCAAATCAATTTTTAAAACATTTGTAAAACAAAAGTAATATTTTTTTGCAGCTGATTATAAATACGACATCGATATGATCGATTAATGATGATCGAACTAAGAGAATTCGATCAGTTTAAAACAATACAAATTCTTGAGACAATCAAACAACCCGAGCAGACGATTTACTTTGCCCTGAGCCGTTGGCGGCAAAACAAAAATGTCATGAATAGGTCGATGAAAAACCCCACCACAATTGTGATGAAATCAGATTATCAACAATTTAAAAAAAAAGATAATAAAGTCGACGAGAACACAATCAATAATCAATGTTTGTTCATTCGGCATTCACTCCCTTGTTACAAAATAAAAAACAAAAACAAGATAAAAAACCTCACATAAACTAATGTATATCAAGAATATTTGTGCTTAAGTTATTTCATAGCCTCAACGAATACATCAAGACGTATCATTGTTTAACAATAACATAAGGGGCAGCACTCTTGTCATGCCAATAACATGATTGGATAGTTTGTTTGCAAGTGGTTGCTAAGTGACGTCACATCCGCCATACTTGCAACACGCGCGCCTCTTACGTCATCAAGTAGACTGACCAATAGCTGGCGTTGAATATGACGAAGAGGAGCGGGAAGAGCAGTCTGGCGTACTTGTCTATCGTGTTGACGTCCTGCACGCGCGGGATCTTGACCTTGATGGACTTGGCCTTCTGCCGGAAGTGAGACAACAGTCTGCGCCTGCGCGGTGGCACGTGTGCACTGCTGCGCCGTCTGACGGTGCTGGGGATGTAGCCGTGGGAGGTGCTGTGCGAATGTGCGAATGACCTGCCGGGAGAAATAGGTCATTTACTTGTTGGGAGAAATAGGTAATTTACATGTTGGGAGAAATAGGTCATTAACATGTTGGAAGAAATAGGTCATTTACATGGTGGGAGAAATAGGTCCTTAACATGTTGGGAGAAACAAATTATTGACGCTATAGGTCAGATAAGGTAGAGTTCACCTGCTTATGTGACGTGTATTTGAAGAAACTGTGTGGTCAACACTCTCAACCACTCCTCACCCAGTCCCAACTGGGGTCAGGTACGCATATCAGCTGGGTTGGCTCAGGGACAACTTACGTAATCGAGACCAGCAATATGCGCTCTACAGTTGGAACACTTACGTATATGTTGAATGTTGGTTCAACCAACTTCAAGTGGAGGTCATGACCTTTATCGATAGGTCAACTTTTTTTGACCTCTCCCAGAACCACCAGCCTTAACTAAAACCAAATCAGTCAACACTACTTGAAATAACAGATCTCATTGTCAGCTATCCGATTCAAGGACTAAACCTAGACTTCAAGAAATCAAAGACTACTATTTTTGTCAACCTTGACCTTTGAGCGCGAGACAAAAGTGTCGTCATTGAGCTCACCGTGAGGCAGGTGGCGCCACCTTGAAGCCGGAGGGGTCCTGCTGACCGTCGTCCAGCTCCAGACTGAAGCTCTGGCTGTTGGTGATACCCAGGGGGCCGAGGACCTCTTTCAGCTCCATCGTCTCGATGGTCGTGTTGTTCTGGGGAACAGTCACATTTTTTACTGGTCGTGTCACATTTTTTACTGGTCGTGTCACATTTTTAACTCGTGGTGTCACATTTTTTACTGGTCGTGTCACATTTTTTACTGGTCGTGTCACATTTTTTACTGGTCGTGTCACATTTTTAACTCGTGGTGTCACATTTTTTACTGGTCGTGTCACATTTTTTACTGGTCGTGTCACATTTTTTACTGGTCGTGTCACATTTTTTACTGGTCGTGTCACATTTTTTACTGGTCGTGTCACATTTTTAACTCGTGGTGTCACATTTTTTACTGGTCGTGTCACATTTTTTACTGGTCGTGTCACATTTTTTACTGGTCGTGTCACATTTTTAACTCGTGGTGTCACATTTTTTACTGGTCGTGTCACATTTTTAACTACTCGTGTCACATTTTTAACTACTCGTGTCACATTTTTAACTACTCGTGTCACATTTTTAACTCGTGGTGTCACATTTTTAACTCGTGGTGTCACATTTTTAACTGATAGTGTCATATTTTTAACTGATGGTGTCACATTTTTTTTACAGCTGTGTCATATTGTTTACTGATGGTGTCACATTTTTTACTGATAGTGTCACATTTTTTACTGATAGTGTCACATTTTTAACTGATGGTGTCACAGTTTTAACTGAAGGTGTCACCATTTTTTTTACTGCTGTTAGTTTTATATTTTAAACCTATGTTGTCACATTTTTAACTGAAGGTGTCACACCTTGTACTGATGGTGTCACAGTTTTAACTGAAGGTGTCACCATTTTTTTACTGCTGTTAGTTCATATTTTAAACCTCTGTTGTCCTATTTTTAATTGATGGTGTCACAGTTTTAACTGAAGGTGTCACCATTTTTTTTACTGCTGTTAGTTTCATATTTTAAACCTCTGTTGTCACATTTTTAACTGATGGTGTCACAGTTTTGACTGAAGGTGTCACCATTTTTTACTGCTGTTAGTTTCATATTTTAAACCTCTGTTGTCACATTTTTAACCGAAGGTGTCACACCTTGTACTGATGGTGTCACAGTTTTAACTGAAGGTGTCACCATTTTTTTACTGCTGTTAGTTTCATATTTTAAACCTCTGTTGTCACATTTTTAACTGATGGTGTCACAGTTTTAACTGAAGGTGTCACCATTTTTTTACTGCTGTTATTTTCATATTTTAAACCTCTGTTGTCACATTTTTAACTGAAGGTGTCACACCTTGTACTGATGGTGTCACATTTTTAACTGAACGTGTCACAATTTTTTTACTGCTGTTAGTTTCATATTTTAAATCTCTGTTGTCACATTTTTAACTGATGGTGTCACAGTTTTAACTGAAGGTGTCACCATTTTTTTTACTGCTGTTAGTTTCATATTTTAAACCTATGTTGTCACATTTTTAACTGAAGGTGTCACACCTTGTACTGATGGTGTCACAGTTTTAACTGAAGGTGTCACCATTTTTTTACTGCTGTTAGTTCATATTTTAAACCTCTGTTGTCCTATTTTTAATTGATGGTGTCACAGTTTTAACTGAAGGTGTCACCATTTTTTTTACTGCTGTTAGTTTCATATTTTAAACCTCTGTTGTCACATTTTTAACTGATGGTGTCACAGTTTTGACTGAAGGTGTCACCATTTTTTACTGCTGTTAGTTTCATATTTTAAACCTCTGTTGTCACATTTTTAACCGAAGGTGTCACACCTTGTACTGATGGTGTCACAGTTTTAACTGAAGGTGTCACCATTTTTTTACTGCTGTTAGTTTCATATTTTAAACCTCTGTTGTCACATTTTTAACTGATGGTGTCACAGTTTTAACTGAAGGTGTCACCATTTTTTTTACTGCTGTTATTTTCATATTTTAAACCTCTGTTGTCACATTTTTAACTGAAGGTGTCACACCTTGTACTGATGGTGTCACATTTTTAACTGAACGTGTCACAATTTTTTTACTGTTGTTAGTTTCATATTTTAAATCTCTGTTGTCACATTTTTAACTGATGGTGTCACAGTTTTAACTGAAGGTGTCACCATTTTTTTTACTGCTGTTAGTTTCATATTTTAAACCTATGTTGTCACATTTTTAACTGAAGGTGTCACACCTTGTACTGATGGTGTCACAGTTTTAACTGAAGGTGTCACCATTTTTTTACTGCTGTTAGTTCATATTTTAAACCTCTGTTGTCCTATTTTTAATTGATGGTGTCACAGTTTTAACTGAAGGTGTCACCATTTTTTTACTGCTGTTAGTTTCATATTTTAAACCTCTGTTGTCACATTTTTAACTGATGGTGTCACAGTTTTGACTGAAGGTGTCACCATTTTTTACTGCTGTTAGTTTCATATTTTAAACCTCTGTTGTCACATTTTTAACCGAAGGTGTCACACCTTGTACTGATGGTGTCACATTTTTAACTGAACGTGTCACAATTTTTTTACTGCTGTTAGTTTCATATTTTAAACCTCTGTTGTCACTTTTTTAACTGATGGTGTCACAGTTTTAACTGAAGGTGTCACCATTTTTTTTACTGCTGTTAGTTTCATATTTTAAACCTCTGTTGTCACATTTTTAACTGAAGGTGTCACACCTTGTACTGATGGTGTCACATTTTTAACTGAAGGTGTCACCATTTCTTTACTGCTGTTAGTTTCATATTTTAAACCTCTGTTGTCAAATTTTTAACCGCTGCTCAAACGTTTCAAACTTTAGCTGTTTAAATATCGACAGACCTACTCTACATTTTTACTTTCTCGTATACGAGGTATAGAGAAAGTATTGTAATCGTGCACAAAAATCCCCACTCTGAATCGGAAATACATTACAATTTTGTCTATATGTCTATGTGCCCGTCTGTTTGTCTGTAAACACGATAACTTGGGTACCGTTTCAGTTATGTTGACGAAATTTCATTTGTAGGTATTTTATACGATTTATTTCTGGTAACCGGAAGTGGTACTAACTCTACTTTACGGTTTCTGGAAAGCCAATTACTTGAGTACCATTTAAAGTAGGTGGTCGAAATTTCACATATAAATATTACAATGTAAGCGCATATTTTTTTCAACTTTTGAAGGATTTCCGGTAAGCGGAAGTGTTATTTTACTGTATTTTTTGAGAAAGCACTAACTTGAGTAGTTTCAGTTAAGAAGAAAAAATATAAGTATAAGATTTTATTACAATTTTTCCGCTCTATCATACACACGCTGATTGCGATCAATTGGTGCGACATTCTATTTCTCTATCTCTATTCTATTTTTAGAATGTAAGTTTTCAAAAAATAAATTAAAAAAATATTTCTAAAGCCCGGTCGGACTGGAAGTGCTGTCCCCTTTACTGCTATAAAAGAATATGCGAGAAAGTTTAGGGGAGATCACTACCGCTTTATTATAGTTTGTATGGTGTATACCTTGTGCCTATGCTGCGTGTATTTATACCTTCTGTATACGAGAGCGATTTAACGCAAATCACTTCCATCCGCAGACGGCTAAAAGCACACTGAATCTCTCTTAGATCTGCAGTTGTTGAAGTAATTCCGATGATTTTAAACTGCTTGCAATGGATGCAATACCGTTTTTTGTTTGCCATTGCGAGACGGAACATTCCTATAAATGGGTGACTGTTTACATTCAGTAGACCCCTCTATGGTAGTTGTGTGTGGATGCCTATAATTGATCACGTGATCTCGCCGTTTGAGAAGATAGGGTGTGTGGAGTCTAATTGAAAACGACAAAGTGCATACAAACCATGTAAGAGCTAGTCTAAAGAAAACCCGGAGCTAAAGAGAGCTAAGACGGGCTCATATACCGTGAACAGAGAGCCCCGGCTATTAGAGAGCAGCAGACGGCCGTGAGTAAACACTCACGTGCGCTCTTGTGTCTGGGATGTTTGAACTGCATGCAGGTAGAATGGGCGTGAGTAGCCGCGGGGTAGTTCCCTGAGTGGGGTCACGCACGATATTTGTGGGGGTGGGGTGTTGGGGTGAGTGGGGGAGTGGGGGTTGTGGGTATGGGTGTGTGGTGGCATGTGTGTGTGTGGTGTATGAGTATTGGGGCGTGATTATCTTGGGCTAAGTTTGTGAGTGAGACCATAGAAACAATGTAAGCGTGTGAGATTGAGTGTGTGATTGAGTGTGGTGGGTAGGTGTGGGATGTGTGATGGGCAGGTATGGGGTGTGTGGTGGGTAGGTGTGGGGAGTGGGGTGGGTAGGTGTGTGGTGGGTAGGTGTGTGGTGGGTAGGTGTGTGGTGGGTAGATGTGGGGTAGATAGGTGTGGGGTGTGTGGTGGGTAAGTGTGGGGTGTGTGGTGGGTAGGTGTGTGGTGGGTAGGTGTGTGGGGGTAGGTGTGTGGTGATTAGGTGTGTGGTGTGTGGGTTTAGTGTTATAAACATTCCTCTGCTGACGTGACAAAAGAATTAAGCAGACAATGTGACGCCATCTTTGTTACAAATCATGACCCGGAATAGATCACGTGACAAATCACCACAACATGGTATCAAACACTAAAAATATCGATGACGTATATCGGGTGGATATATTCTTCGAGCGACGGCAATTATACACACCAGTTTTTGTTGGGTAGACATACCCACTCACTGATACAGGCAATATCGAACCCTAGACCTAACACTAACACAATTCTAGACCTAACACCAACACAACCCCTTGACAAACCCTAGACCTAACACCAACACAACCCTAGACCTAACACTAACACAATCCCGTGACAAAATGAGCAGCTGGACAAAATTGTACAGCCAGCAAATGTAAGAGTGAGTGCTTCACATTCAAACAGCGCTCAACGAGCAAGTGCAGGTGCACTGTTTAAAATTCCGGACGCCTTCTGGAATTGTCTGCACAGCTTCCCGCCTGGCAACTCGGACTTGATGAAACAACAAAAAAACCTGGCCACCGGCTATTTTCCCGGGCCGCATGATGAGCAGTTCTAGTTAACGCTGGGCAGAGACATGTGGGCTGATTACAACAGGGAGGGG